GTTCAGTGTTTTGTGGTCTGTCAAAAGAGTCATCTTGTAGCAAGGTTAAAGCTTACTGGGAAATGATATACAGCCGTACCTTGGAAGTCATTTGGAATCCGTTCTGGACGTCCATTCACTTCCAAAATGTTCAGGAACCAAAGTGCAGCTTCCGATTGGCTGCTGGAAGCTCCTGCAGCCAATCGGAAGCAGCGGAAGTCGTGCCAGACGTTTGGGTTCCAAAGAACATTCAAAAACTGGAACAATCCCTTCCGGTTTCCGATCATCCGGGAGCCAAAACATTCAGCAACTAAGCCATTTGAATTCTAAGGTACGACTGTACAACGAATTGAAAAGAATGTTCAAAATAACTTTTATAAAAAAACAACAACCAGAAACAACTGTTGGGAGTTATAGGGACAGAACTACCTAAATTGTATAGAAATGTATTTATGTATGCTACTACAGCAGCAAGAATGCTACCTGCCCGAAAGTGGAAAGAAGCAGAAGTCCAACGAAAGGAAGAATGGAAACAGAAACTTATGGAACATGCAGAAATGGCAAAACTTACTGGAAGACTAAGAAATCAAGATAAAAAAATCTTTTTATAAAAGAATGGAAATGGCTTATTGAATATTTACAGATAAATTGTAAACAGATAAAAGCATTAGCAGGATTATTGTAATAACCTGCAATTTCTGAAGAGTGTATATTTACAGTAGATAATTAAACAAGCAAGTTAAATGAATTTGGATATGCAGAAGGTATTTTAAAAAATAAATTTAAGGAACTGCAGAAAGAAGAAGGAGAAGGAAGTCAAACTTTGAAATGTTAAGTTGATTGTAAAACTAATGAAATGTATAAACTTGAAAAGTATAAATACTTTTTAAAAAGAGCGGGGGGGGGGGGAGTCAAGTTGCTGGACCCTGAAAATTCACATTATGGATTTATACAAACAATGAGCATGTACTCATGCTACTTTTGCACGAGGCCTTTCCTGAAAGGCACTGTTCTTCCATGTTCTTCACTGTTACCACGGTCAACCATGGCGGGAAGGAATGGGGGCAGGAGGGCTTCAGGAAAGGGGCAGGATGAGAATGACTTGGGACCCCCACTAAAATCAAAGAACACAAAGCACCCACCAGTAGTACAGAAAACTGCAAAGTTCCCACCATTCTGAATGTCAGCTTACCGATGGGTAGGTGTACCCCTCCTGGCTCCGGCAGATGTGAACCTCGTCCTCCGTCGTTTTCTGATAGACAGGGTTGTCAAAATTGATGCTGTTGATGTTCCTCAGGCGCCAGTTCTTCCAAACGAGGAAACCCCCAAAGGAGATTAAACAAATCAGCACTGGAAAAAAAGAAATCCCAGAAGGCAGGACGTTATTTTAAACCAACCTCTCCTAATTGCTCAGGAGACCACTGGTGACGATGGTGAATATAGCACTATCTATGTGTGTGGGGCTTCACAAAGAACGTATGACAGGCCTGTATCCCAAGAGGCTTACAATCTAAGTACCCTATACCGTATACACACACCTGAGAGCCGCTATTAAGGGAATTAACGGAGAATAAAATATGCACTGTGACTTATTTGCTACACCAATACAGTCATACCTCGGGTTACAGCCGCTTCAGGTTGTGTTTTTCCGGGTTGTGCACTGCCGAAACCCTGAAGTACCGGAACAGGTTACTTCCAGGTTTCCGCGGTCGCACATGCATGGAAGTGCTAAATCACGCTTTGCACATGGGCAGAAGCACCAAATCGCAACCCGTGCGTGCGCAGACGCAGGTTGCAAACGTGCCACTGTATTATATTTAGTTCAAGACCATCCTGAGAAGGACTACTGATTTGGGCTTCTGCCTTGCCCACAACTATTATTATTTATTCTTATTACTATTACGATTACTATTACACTGATTGATTGAATTTATATACCACCCTATGGCGGGGTTCACAGAATAAAATCAAGATACAAAACTACAAAATTAATAATAAAAACAACGCAATAGCCCCCCTCCCCCCAAAAAACACATTTTAAATCTGAAGAAGTGTGCATGCACACGAAAGCTTATACCAAGAACAAACTTAGTTGGTCTCTAAGATGCTACTGGACAATTTTTTATTTTTGTATATATTTCGACATTTAAAAAGCGTACAGGATGCAAATCAGATCAACCGAAGGCCTGGTTAAAAAGGGACGCTTTTGCCTGGCGAGGAACTTACCCAGTGGTAGGACAATCGAGAGCGCTGGGGGACCCCCTTGCCTTGCCCCGTCTGTTTCAGCAGCAATGCCGTTTCGTGCTGGGGAATAAAGGAAACTTAAAATTAAGCCCTCTCCAGTCTGGAATATTGCTAAAGATGCAGAGGGGAAGGAAGAGGGGACAGGAGAGGAGGAAGAGGAGAACCTGCACCCAAGTTAAGTTTTCCTATGTGCACAGCACTTTGCACTTAGGTGTAAAGGAGCCTTAACAGGAGTGTCGCACACTCGTAGTGACTGGCTGAAACTTAAGCTGCTTACCTTGCTGTGACAGGGTGACCATCGGAGGCGTGGTACGCTCAGAGATGCCTGGGATGAGTTTGCTCAGAACGGTGGGGGCAGCGGCAGGCAGGCGTTCAGTTTCATGCCTGGGGGCACCGGTTGTGGCGAGCAGCCGGCCCAAAGGTGTGGTTCTCGAGGGAGGCTGCCGAGTTGTTGTGGCAGCAACGGAAGCAGGAGCATCGGGAACAGTGTCTGGGTGGTGGAGATGACAACATATCAATTATCTCTCCAAACATACACTTTTGCAGTCGTACCTTGGATCCCGAACGCCCTGGAACTCGGGACGCTTTGGCTCTTGAATGCCGCAAACCGGAAAGTGATTGTTCCGGTTTGTGAACGTTCTTTTGGAACCCAGAGCTCCCTGCAGCCAATCAGGAGCCGCGATTTGGTTTTTGAACATTTTGGAAGTTGAATGGACTTCCAGAAAGGATTCTGTTTGACTTGCAAGGTATGACTATACTTGTTTTGTGGAAAAGGGGGTATAGTCGTACCTCGGGTTAAATATGCTTCAGGTTGAGTGTTTTCAGGTTATGCTCCGCGGCGACCCGGAAGTAACGGAATGCGTTAGTTCCAGGTTTTGCCGCTCACGCAGACGCTCAAAATGACGTCACACGCGACGACGCAGGTTGCGTTCACTTCGGGTTGTGAACGGGGCTCCAGAACGGATCCTGTTCGCATCCAGAGGTACCACTGTAGTCTCTCTCTCTTACACACACACACACACACACACACACACACAGAGATTGATTTTGTACCCTGGCTGCCAGCTGCTCACTGCACAAAGGCTCGCTTCACCCATTTTGCCCGCTTACCTGTGCTGCAACTTCTCATGTCTGCGGCCAGGTGCATGCCATCCGGACAGGCACAGGTGTACTTGGCGGAGTGAGCAGTGATTTGTGGTGCAGGGAGACAGAGGTATTGGCAGCCTCCATTGGGAGTTCCATTCTTCTCACACCAGTTGACACCTGTTAAAAGGCGGGAAAAGGAAGTTGTACAAAGGAGACTCGGGATGGCACAAGTGCCTGCGCAAGTCTTCACCTTCACGAACACAGGAGGAATTCAAGAGAGCCAGAGGTTATCCTCACTGAATGGCATCTCAAACTGTCAGGCAGCAGAGGAACCAACCCCCCACGACAGGTCGCCAGGAACGGACAAGACAAGGAAAAGTCCTTACCATCTGCTTTTATTTAATATAACCTTGATCAAAACTTTGATTTAAAAATGCCCTAGAACTTTCAGATATATATAATGTCAGGGTGCCCTCAACAACTAGTGAAACACAGATGGGGCAGATATTCAGCCTCCATAATCATTTTTTTAAAGCATGAAAACACAGAGAGGGGCTTGTGAACGGAGCTTCTTGGAATAATGGCATTGCTCCAAATGAATCTCCACCCCCTCCGTCTCTCCCACTTCCTCACGAGTCATTGCTACGGGTGCTGCTACGTGCCCTCTGCCTTTGAGCTCTTTGCTCTCCTACTTTCAAGGCACGCCGTGTTCTAGGAGAGGAGGGGTCTGGAATGCTTTCTAAAGACAGTGAGTCCATCAGCTGTCGCTCCCCTAGTGCTTCTTCTTCTCCCTCCTCCTCTCCCTTTATTTTCCAGCTTTCCCCCTCATCTGCCTCTGAGCCGTGACCTCCCTCAAACCCCTGTTGTAATTCTGAACTGTCCCCTTCTCTGGAAGGGGCAGGCTGGGGAGGCAGCCTCCACCGGTCCTCCTCTGCCCAGTCCCTGACACAAACACTGCGCCTTCCCACTCAGTGGGAGTCCTCCAAGACAGAGCAAAAACCACC